ATGGATCTATGCCTGGGTAGAGGGATGGACAGATGGAAAGGTCTGTGATAAGGCAAGTACAGTAAAATACTAATGGCACAATATAGGTGGCAGGCATACAGGTGCTTGCTGCAAAATCTTTCAGCTTTGCTCTATGTTTAAAATTTTTCATGATAAAATATTGGAAAAATACTTTACAAAAGTTGGGTCGCTGATAGCTCATAGGCTGAAGTAAAAATTGTGTGCTTGCATTTAATATCATTTCTTTTACACAGAGAAGCTTCAGAAGGGTTTTGTGGCAGAAGCAGCTGACCATGGCCCAACATCTCGTCTTCCGCCCCCTACCCCTCTCTCTCTGTGCCTGCTTGCTCCATCTTAATAGACACAGTGCAGTTTGGTCTCTTCACCCACTCCTCTAAGTTGCAGAAGCAGCAGACCAAAAGAGAGAAGGAGAATGTATTTCTTATCTTCCTTCTTCTCCTGCCCACTCTGAGCCTGCCCGCCCCCCCTCCTTGCTTGTTTCTAGTGTCAAAGTTAGTGGAGCAATTCTGGCCTCGCTGGATTTATGCGCCTCGCAGTGAAAGAGCACTGCCATTGCGGAGGCTGCCGGCTGCTCCACATTGATTGAGTTTCCTGGGCTTGAGGGATTTTTGTTCAGCTGAGTTTTACGGTTGATATGTTCTCGGTCATTTGTCATAAAATCATTCCACCCAAGCTGTTTACTGGTTTGAATGCTTAATTACTGAAGGAGAAGAGACTCGCTCCTTTTGGAGCACGTTGGTTTGGAATACTTTCTCCTGGGTTAGTTACCTGATAGTGCCCAACTACTGCCGGGCTGTGCATGCGTGCCTGTCTGTCTGTGTGGCTGTCCATCAGGGGACTTCAAAACGGAAGTGGAACATAGAGTTAAAGCACAAGTTTATTTTGATGCAATACAAAAAATCCATTTGTAGTTTCTCATAACATGTATTTCCCATGTACTTTTGAAGACCCCCCTCCTACATTTATGTACATGTGTATGCCACCCTTCAAAATAAAAGATAAAGACAGGGCCATCTTGGTGGTTCCACCGTAACACACTGCTAAGAGAAATCAGATCCCACGTGACAATCACAGTTCAAATCCCTGGCACGGTCAGACAGAAACGTGCCGGGCCCATGTGTAAGGGCCTCGGCTCCAGCAGGCTGGAAGACTGCAGGGAGTGGCTCATGGCGTGACCAGACCCTGCAGACGGCCTTGCCTTTCTCATCCTTACATTAAGTGCATGTACACTCTGTCCTGAATAAAGAGAAATAAAAACCTCCACAGTTTTGGCTGAATATTCTGAGATACATGAAGACACGCCACTTTGCTTCATGTCTTGACAGCATTTGTTTTTGTCTTTGGAGAAATTACTTGTGGCCCTCAGCACTCAGGTCATCCCCGCTGCACACGGCTCTCTGCTCTGACTTCAGACCTGGATGTTCCCTGGGTTTATACAGATCACGTTCCAGAAACGCATTGCTGATTCTTGCCTCGGCCACCATCCTCAATCCAAATCGCCTCCATGGTGTCGAATATAATCATCTCCTGGAAAAAGTTCACCTAATTGGAGGCAGATTTATTTGTGAAAGTAACGATGCCTTGGGAATTATATTTTAAACTTACCGTAGAGGATTTAGACTCTGAAGGAAAGGTCCTTGCAGCTTATTTACAATTTCAGTTCCTGTTTTTCATAAGGAAAATTAAAGTGCTCTTTCAGCTTCCAGAGAAACCCCATCCCTGTGCTGATTGCCACATACAATTTCCCTCCACAAATTGGACTCAGCTATCTTTTGTCATTGGTTCCGTGTTGTTAAATATTTAGGAAGCGTGCTTTTGTACATGAGGTTGCTCTTGGGAGGAGAGAAAGAGAACAGAGTTGCAGGAAATGGAATGTTTTAATGCCAAGATAACCTGTCAGAACACCTTAAATATTGACCACAGTTTTGATGTTTCATTTATCTCCAAGTCAGCAGCACATTGTGTTGTTCCAATTTTTTACCACGCAGAACTCTGGGTCTTTTTACTGTAAGGAATTAGAGCTTCATAGGAAGAAAACAAAACTTTTAATCACTTTGCTGGAACCATAATACTGGAGAATTCTTTTCTAGGTGCATCAGTTTCCTGTTATTCAAAACAACTTCTTGTCACCACTTTTCTTTCGAGCTTCTGTTTTGTTTTTTTTTTCTCTCCCCTTAACTATTGCCCTTATTCAGAGCTATTATACTTAAAGTAATCTGGATTCTTTCAGAGCTGCTGAAAGGTGGAATTGACTTTTGGAGAATGGATTACTGAAAACTGCAGCCCATGCACTTTCCCCACGTAGAAGCATCCTGTGTGTTAAGACCAAGAGGGACAATTCACAGCCAGGTTCAGACGGTGAGCCGAGGTCAATAAGTATCCACTTTAGCAATCACAGGAGCCTCGTTTGGATGACAACACAATGAGGTGCCTCCAGGGAGCTGCCACCCCAAACCTGCTACCGCCATTGGCAGCAACACTCCTGTGCAAGTGCTATTTACTTGGCATTTACAGTTGAAAGCTTTACAAATCTAAACTTTTCCAATGATGATGATAAACGTACTATATTAACATTCAAATCCAAGTGATATTATTTGGTAATCACAATACCCAGGGCTTATGGGGGCACCATGGGATATTATGCTGAATCGTCACACCTGTAAGAAGTGGATTCCAACTACTTCATTATACCCATGAGAAAAATCAGGGCATAGAAAATTAAGTAAATGGTCCACATCAGAATATGCAGATTCGCAATGTTGAAACCATGCAGTTGGACTTTGGAGATTGTCCTCTGAAGGATCCCCTGTGACTTTTAGATCCACGTTTAGAGAACGTGGTGTTGTTGAGATACTGGGAAGGTACCATCACCATCAGCTCTCCACTGGCTTTGAGAGTGCAGACTAGAGATAATTTAGTGTAAAATGTCCCAATAAAAATTTCCCCCAAAGCATATGTAAACCACGACATAATAGATTTATCAAAGTAGCAGAATGCTATTATGTTCAAAAGATTAACCAGACTGAAGCTATTTGTCATAGCAACGGGTGCTAGAGTTGACAAATTACAATTGAACCCAGTTTGTAGCGAAATGTTAGACAGAGCCTTGGCACTGATTAATTGACGTGAGAGTCCAGCCTGGAATATATTAGAGCAATTTTAATATCATTCACAACAGAGGCGAATTATGCTCCAAAAGGCCCCTAAAATTGGACCAAGAACCTACGTTTCCTTGGTTCTAAAATGTACCATGGCAAGACTCACCATCAATTTAGTAACTTTTAATCGTAAAGAAGAGAAATATTCCATTAAATGCCTACATTGATAGCCAGGGAGTCTGATTACAGGCACTTTAAAACCTGTGGTAGGGCAAGAAGGTCCCTCATCTTAGAAATAAGAAAAATTATTTAATTCTGGATAATGTACTTTGTCCTAATGAGATAAGAAACCTTTTCCTAATAAAATTTATGGAGTGGAAGGTGATGTATGCTCAGGGAGGGGAGGAAAAAAGCCTTTAAGAAGGAAGAACCTTTGGTTTTTTAGCCTTTTTGACGAGAAAATGGATCTTTAACTTATACCTCTGCAGACCATGACAAGCTGGTAGGGCTGTCACAAGAGCAGGCTCTCTCCTGTGAGTTAAGGTGTCAGCCTTGAAAGAGGGAGTGAGATTAGATTCTACCAGAAGGAAAGTCGAGGTACAGGAGAAGCAGCGGAGTTTGGTGTCTTGCCGATTAATTCTCTCCTCAACCAACTCCATGTCCAGGTGTATCAGGCTCGTGGTGTGTGCGTGTTTTCAGTTTCCACCTACCTGCCAGGTGCTGTTATTATTTTAAAGTTATTTCTCCCATAAGAGAGTGGGAGTGCCTCAATAGGTCCTCGTGCCACGCTCTGCTCAGAGCCCCAGGCAGCCAGGACCACGGGCACTCATGCACACGCCTGTGTGTGCTGAGACCTCTGGATACGACCCTGGGACTTTCCCACCCAACCTCAGCATCTGCCGTCCTGCCCCTGCTCGGCCTCCGTACCTGGCTGAGTTGCCATCATTTTCATTGTTAGGAATTGAGCCCAGGGGCTCTTTGTTCTTTTATGTGCACAGCTTTATTCTGCCCCATCAGTTATTGTCGTTTTCTCTTTTCTTAAATTTCAAATTCAATAATAGACTAAGAGACCTAACTGTACTGCCTTCATTGACTAAATTCATGCTAAGAAAATTATGCTACGAATAATGAGTGTATGCAAAGATCTGGCTTTGGGGATATTTGTTACGAAGCTGTTTATCACAGGGAAGAACAAAACAAACCCTGAAAGTTATCCACATGGTCTCTAGCAGGGAATTAATGATTTCAGGTATGGAATAAGCCCATACCAGGATTCTCATCATTTAGTCATCATCTGAATAGTAGCTGAGAAGGTATTTTCTATGAGGCCTTGTGGAATTTTTTACTGTGTTGTTTTTAAGTTAAAAGTGATGTGGTGGGAACCAGCAGTTAACATAATGGCTATGTCACTGGATTCCCACATAATCGACCGCACTTCGAGTCCCAGACCTGGCGGCTTAAACTCACGCTGGGCATGTGTGCGTGTGTGCTCAAGATCCCAAGAGGAGAATGGAGGAGAAGGGAATGGAGGAGAATGGCCATCCCCCCGGGAGGTGATTTCTCGCTTTCTGTCTCTCTGTCTCCCTGTCTTTCTGGCAAGTGCATGCGCCCTATAGCAAAAATCTCTCTCAAAAAAAATAAAAAAAAAAGTGATGTGGTGGAAGAGTAATCAACGACGCAGAAGAGGCAATGTGGTGCATGGCAAGGAGAGGTCTAAACAGGATGTGATCTTATTTATAAATAAATACATAAGGGAAGGAAGGAAGGAAGGAAGTAGGCCAGCTGCAGTGGCACGATGTGAGTGCTAAGGACTTGGGCTAGTCCTGGGTTTGTGCCCAGACATCTCCTTGTCCATACCACGCAGGTGCCCATTCATGGTATCGGCTGTCTTGAGTCTGGGGGTAGATTGCAATGCGAAGACCCCGTTGGCGTTGGCACTCCCTCTCTCTCTGCCTTGGAAGAAATAAATAAATGAAGTTTAAAAAAGGAAAATACAGAAGTGTGTTTTGTTAAGAAAAAATATACATGTACATTAAAATAGACATCATTTTCTTTGACTCATTGTATCTTTATTCTCTAAAAAGTGTGTGATGAATACTTCATGTCTTTAACCAGAAAGCAAATTGGAAATGTCTTTAAAAGGCAGTTGTGTCTGGAAGCTACTACAGGAAAGCATTAACGCCTACTTATCTGTTGCACGTAAAGATGGAAGGGGATAGAGATGGCTTCAATCTTTTTAAAGTCAGATGAGAGACTTTGACATACTATTCTTGACTGTTGCTGTTATAACCGGTGCTATTTCAATACTTAGGAAACTCATGTGCTTTTAAAAATACTTAAAATGCCAACAAAAGCAACAATTCTCTTGGAGTTGGTGGTATATGAAAAGGTAAACAGTTAGTGGTCTTAGAAAGAATCATTAGTTTTTCCAAGTGATTCCTAGTTACTTTGGTATTCAGTGCAGTTCTATGTTGGCTTACTACAACCATTGCCTTATGGACTGATTTGGGTAAAACTAAGTAAGAGCATGCCCAGAAGTGGAGAATCAAGCCCTCTCTTTCTCTGAGATTTGTATTTAGGTTATACAAATAATTAGGGAAGGGGGATTTAGGCACGCTACAGCCCTGGTATAAAACACACAGAAGGTCATAGTCACTTAATTCACATGAACGAGGCTCACAGATTTTAAATGGAGTCACACCATGGCCCTGGGGAGCACAACTGTCTTGGGTCATGTTCACCCCTCAAGATTTTACTTCAGTGGATGTGTTTTCCTAGCTGTCTGCCTAAATGTTGACTGTGCCATCTTTCCAATTAATAAGAAAATATCAAACAGAGCATTAATGTTTACAGCTTCACATTTTCAAATTAAATTATCTATTGATTAGTGGGAGGACTATTATTAAAAATCAGCACAACCATGTCTGATGGTGCCTTAAAAATATTCATCATGATGACTTTGATCCAATTGTAAATGTGAATCTGAGCTTTATTTTAAAAGTAAGGGGGGGAGCAAATGAGCAATAAATTCAAAGCCCAGGTAATTGGGGGAAAAAGTAATCTATTTAATCAGTCCCAAGAGCTAAACGATTCAGAGAACTGACATGTGGATATATGGTTAGAGCTTCTTGTCAGAAAAGAGCACGTATATCTGTTTAAGAAAAAACTTGATAGCAGATATAATATCAACATTTGCCTCTCTTATGATAAACTGTGTTTAATTTTTTAAGTATTTACTTCAAGCAATAGTTTTCTTTTCTTCTTTTCTATTGTTATACCATCTGTATGCCAAATACTCAAAATAGTTACATCTTTCTGTACGAGTAGGTATCTTCTTCCCTATGCACACTCCAGTTCACTCCCACTGTTCCTGGGGAGATTCAACCTTTGGGGGTCTACCTTCAGGGTGAAAGGGCCCTTGGCTCTGTGCAGGAAAGAATTCAAGAATGAGCCTTTGAGAGTTTACATAGTTTACAAAGACCAGTGTACAGAGCAGATTAGTCCATAGGTGGAACAGACCTGTGAAGGGAATAAGTGAGTGGTGGTGTTCCTTCCTTGGGTGGACAAGACCAGAGCGTAAGCCCCAATTTGACTACTGCTGCCTGCTGCTTCCATGGTTGCAACCTTCAAGAAGAAGGAGGAAACTGTTAACCTGTAAGGTAAGATACAATGGAAGGACTGCCCCATAGACAGGGCTGCCCTAAATTTTGGCAGACATCTGGCTTATATGGCTTGGCTTAATGTCAGGCTAAATAAGGGGTGGTTTATTCATTACTTTTCCCAGAATAGGTTGGTAGTTTTCCTGGAGTCACTGTCCCTCCCATTTGCTGGCCTCATAAAGGCAGTTAAAGATGTTGCTATGGCAATTATAAACTGACTGTCATGGCGTGGGTGGGAGTGTCATTTAACATGCTAGTGAAGTACATTGATGGTATGAAGAGTTTGAAGGTAGGCATTGGTTGTTCCAGGTGCCATCTTGATTCCAACTGGTTCAAATCCAGTCTCTCAGCCACCTCCTGTCATGTCAGGTTTTATTGTTTTATAATAGATGTTGAATGTCCTTCACTTAAGTCCCCTCCTGTCTCATCACTTCTTGACTGAAAAACTTTCATCTTTGACTTTCTTTTTCAACTTTAGTCCACTTATCCCACCCATTTCATCTCCTCTTCAAGCTCTAAGACCTTATAAATGTGAAGATAAAATATAGTGTAAAGTTCCAGAGAAGCACACCAGAGCCTCATGTCCACTTCGGCTCTGTCTCCTACTAGCTGAGTTATCTTGGAACATGAACTTAGCTTTCTGCTACGTCTGTTTTCAACACTGAACAATGTTGGTAAGATAAATAAAAATCACATAAGGTTACGACTGGAATTAGATTTTTGAAAATACAGTACTACAAATATTACAAAGAACTTAATACATAGAAAATGATGGATTTTACTTGTACTGTCCTACAAAGTCTAGATTTTTAGCAGAGATATTAAACTTCAGTCCTCAGTTAACTAGTAATATTTTAGTGTTAGTTTGGCATAGTAAACTTTTAGCAAGCCTCACTATAGCATTTAGGAGCTACATATTAGTAAATAGCACTTAACTTGATATAACACCGCAGACAATGGAATTAGAAGTCACTTGCCCATAGAACAAAGAAAAAAGGTTTGGATTTTTAGGTTAGTTTATGGCTCACCAGTGGGTCTCTTTAATAGCTATACTCTAATAATCACTTTATTTAAAGGTTGAAACCCTAGGCTATACATTTAATCTCCCACAAAACATCTTGGGACCAGACAGTGAGTGACACAGTGGTAGAACGTGACACCCTGTGAGGCTGACTCGCATGGACAGGCTTGAGGTTCACGTCTGAGACCATCCTGAGCATACCACAGCACATCTGCCCTTGAGCCAGGACTGGCTGAGGCTGGGTTGGATTGTGGCATCAAGATCCCGTTGGGAGTGCCTGTCTCTGTCTCTGACTCTCTCTCCCACTCCCTCTCTCATTAATGAAGGAGTAAATAATTCAACTTAAAAACTTTAGAGGTTAAAGAAACTGCAGGCATCATTTCATAAAGCTGTAGTCCTTGTGCCAAAACCCCATTATCGTTGATATTAGATACCTTGTTTTAGGTCCTTGTGATTTTCCATGCAGTGAGTTGAGTTCTGGAGATACAAAAAAAGAAAAAACATAATAAAAGAAGAAGAGGAAAGAAAAAGAATTAGACAAATACCATGACCGTAGGGCCATATGGACTAGTCAGGGAGATAGAAAAGTAAACAAGTAACTGTAAAATTAAAACCAGGAGTTCCCAGAGCCATAGATGCTGTGGGAACATAGAGAAGGTGTATCCCCTTGCCTGGGTGGGAGTCATATCTGAAGACAGTTGCTGAAAAAGTGATGTATGTCTAAGCTGGAACCCAAAAGACAAGCAAGTCTCCAAATGAAGATGGAGGAAGTGAGAAAAGAAAGTTCCTCGGTGTCCAAAGATGTGCAGAGGTTGTCACAGTAATACAGCAGGTATTTGTTAAGATCCTGAAAAATACCAGAACAGTATTGTAAGGACTTATTTAGATGTTAGGCTGTTTCTCCTCCACCCTAAATTGAGTTTCTTCAGGGTGTCTTCCTATTTATCTTTGTTAACCTCTGGCCCTCAGCTCAATGTTTAGCACATGGGAATGTTCAATAATACTAGTTAAAGAAATTAATTAGTCAATAAATGGCTTATCACAATTGTTCTTATTAGGGAAAAATGGAGTCATTGGTGAAACCATTAACCAGAATAGGGTCAGGAATAGAGATTGGTAGTCCATCACTAGTGATCACTTTCCCGGTTGAGACCAATCCATTTAATCAAAATCTTTGGTACAGCCATTCTACCAGCGAATTGCATCTTCGTCTAGCTCATATACCTTGGTGTTATCCATGGAACTCTCAAACACAATGGCAGATATATTATTTCTGTCTTCTCTTACAGCATGATTGACCTAGGTTCTAACTAAAGAGGAAATTAGCTTAGATTGGGGTCATTTCTTAGTAAACATACTAACTATAAACAATACTCATCAATGACCATTTTCATGTCTCTTCAATCATATTTCACTTCCCGTTCTACCTCCCATTAAAGTAACAGGTCAATTTTAGAACTGACTTGTTAGGAGAGTATTTGCCCATTTTAGCCTGAGAGCACCTTTGTCATTCATAGAATACCTGACAGATGCACATAAACATTAAATGTATAAACACATACATGCTGAAGTCCATGGGGATAGCAAATGACCTTCCATTACAATTTTTAAAGACCTCTTGTGTTCAGGAACCTGTGCTAAGTATTTGGATTTTCTCTGTGGTCCATATACTAATAAGGTTTGGGCAAAGTTGAATCAGTACGTGTCTTACAGAGGCCATCTGGAGAATGAAGGGGCAGTAGGAGGTCAAAGGCCGTGTCTGGATGCTGTGAAGGATGATAAACTGTACTGGGGTAACCTTATTTATCACCCATCATATGATCGGAAGTGTGTGTGCTCTTT